TACAAGTCATGTACAACATGTGAGGCATAGCGTGTTCTTGAATACTATCGAGGAAATTACCATGGCGAGGTAGTGTCCTTGAATCCATTGTGTGCGAGTATTTGAGTCAACAGTTTGGCTTGATATATCGAGTTTCCAAGACAGCAACTCTTTATCCCCAAGACTGTTAAGGCTTCTCATAATATTGTACATCAGTCTGAAATCAACCCTTCATCTAACCCAAATTCACGGCAAAATCCCTACAAAAACAGATCAATAAGGCACCCAGACAACAAAAATGAAGTTCCAAGCCATCCTGCTCCTCGCAGCCAGCGCTATCGCCGCACCTACACCAGAAGCAGTTGCTGAGCCTGCACCTGCCGTTGTTGGCGCCACAACCAAGGCCCAGCGTCTCCTGTGCTCTGGTCTCTGGACTGGTAACGACCTCAGCTTCGGAGACCTCAAGTGGGCCATCAACAACCGCAGAGATGAGCTGCAGCTCAAGGCCGGATGGTGGAACGAGGTCAACACCGCCTGCAGATCGACAGATGGCAGGAACATTGCGCAAAATGGCATTTGGATCACGTACAACCACGCACGCAGCAGCCAGGCGAAGACTACACTGAAGTTCAATGGTGCGGTTGTCTGTTCGCCGCAGAGCAGCTGGAACCTAAAGTGCGACAAGGCATAAGAGCCAACATCCACGAAGAAAGAGGTGGTTGATGCAGAGTGCTCTCAAAGCTTTCGTATGATATACCTAGCGATGCCTTTTCAACAAAGAGGCAGCATCTGAATAATTACAATCATTAATGAGGCAATTTTTATCATAATGATATCTGTCTGGGCCTGTGACTCTTTCTAGAAGACCCACCGTATCCCTCACTCACGTGTCGTCTGTCCACTTAACTAGAGTGATGAAGTTCGTAACTTGGGAATAGCGGGCGTCTTGAGCAAGGCGATGTTTATAAACAGGTGTTGTTCAAATGGAAGCTCCGGGAGCACATGGTACCCTGGCCGGAAAAGGTCTGATTCCACAATTGTGGCGTCTATATCAGTGGGCAGCTAATAGCTCACAGCTGCTAATCCCACGAAAAGATGCAGCCCATATCACTCCCACAATGGCCTGGTCAACGCCCGCTCTCTCCGACGCCCATACTGCCAGGTCTTCTACAACAACTTGGTCGCATACAATAGGACAAGGTCCCAAAGAACCATTGTTATCATAGTTGCTGCAGACAAACTTTACGAGATCTGATTGGCTTGCCATGTATTGAGTCATTTTGCACCGGTGGAAGGAAATAAGGCGTCACTTCTCGGACAGCCAATCTCATCTGCTAGGTGAAAATATGTAGCTCAAAGGTGACCGCAGACCTTGATAATGTGCAAAGAAACTATAACGAGACCCCCACGATTGTCGAGGTATTATGTCTCGAAGACTGTGCTTCCATTTTTCTCACCGGCTCCAGCCAAGAACGCGATGATCGCCGTCTGGCGGTCATCTCTTCGCGTAAGGAACGCGACAGAGATTGCGCATTCGAGAAATGATGGGCATCACGAATGCTGATCTTAGTTTCTTGGGAAATAAGGGGCTCGGAGAATGTTATCTTTCGAAGTTCCTCCGCTATGGTAAGTCAAAAGGTTTCACACAAGCTGCCGGGTCTGGGAGCTGAATGCAGTCAGGGTCTCAGATGAAATTGCTGGAATTTGACCAGTGGTAACGAAGACTCCACAACTAGCAGTCAATAACATTTTACCAGCCGAGCGATAATTGGGCGACAAACGGGCGCGTCTTTGCCTAAGTTAGTAAGTCTTCTGCGGGGAGACGTCTGCAACCCCGGCAGTGACTTTCAAAGTCGATATGAACTCCACGCGGGGAAAGATATGACCGCTTTCGGCCATATGGCTCAGTAGATTATCCATTCTAAGCGAAGAGCTTAGGGGTAAACTGACAGAGACAAGGACCATTCCTTTTGGGGTAATCTGTGCCCTGCGCGCGGGATATGTCTCGAATTCACCTCCTTCGCCATTTTGGGTCGTAACGCAGAAGCCAATCGGACTCATCTATACCCTTCGGCCGACGCGGGAGGGCTGCCTGTGGCTGGCTCAACTACGACAGCTAGGGATGCAAGCATGAGGACCCTGGCGTTTACCGACATCGCCTAGCCTCTCTCAACAGGCACATCAGGTCTCGGCCTACCCTGCAGATCACGAAGCTATGAATGTTGCTTCATCGCCATCGCAAGCCATCGCAAGCCATTGCAAGCCATCAAATTTGCCGGGAAGCTTCTTCGAGAGGAAATGGACAGAGGATGGGATCTTACTAGTTGATACTGCGCTGCTTTTGGATTTCAGCCATCCGCCATACTTCAGCTGTGTCTCAGCCTACCAGAAACAAAAATTAATAGGATCATGCCCATACGAGCGGCACTGATGATCATTCTTTGTGAATAGCTGAAGCTGAGGTAACGGAAAAGCTAGTCCGGTAAGTCCAAGGCCTTAAAAGTCCCGTGTCGCATGTGCGTTGTCGCCTGCCCAAATGCGGCTTGACAAATTTGTTGATATTCCCCTTACCCCATGGCCGAAGGCTTCTACCTGTCTTTAGATTCTACTCTTGCTTCACATTTTGGACTACACAGCAACATGGCGACCACTCATGACCATGACCATGGCCACTCCCAGACTCACTTGGGAGTAGACATTGACATCCCGACGCCGATCACTCCGGGCGAGTCGGATTTGCTGACGAGCGAGATGTCGGGTCTCAGCATCAACGAGCGAAGCCGACCTCGTCTTCTCCCGTCTTACCCATCCGCAACATCTCCTCGTACAAGCAGTCCTACTGGGTCCGTTAGGAGCGCGTATACTACCAGGCGTCGTGTCAGTCGACGGTCCTATAGCAATGAGTTCCATTCAAGCTCCCACAGCTCCAGCTTCAGTTCTGAAGTATCGAAGGAGCTCACTCGCCAGGCAGAGCTTGAGTTCGCGGCGCTCACGGAACTCATGTCTAGCATGTCGAGACGAAGCATGTCGTTGCGCGAAGTCTGGAGCAAGATCATCACCGAGCGCGAGTCTGTCTACTCTGAGATGCATCGCATGACTGAGCGCTACGAGGAGTTGACCGAGGTCATGGAGCGCAAGGAGAGGGAGCACAGTCACCACAACCACGAGCATGAAGGCCAGAAGCAGGAGCTTGTCAAGGTGCGGCTGGAGCTCACTGCAGCCATCAACAGCGCTTCGAAGTTCAAGCTGGAGCTATCTGCACGAGACAACGAGTGCAAGACCCTCCGACATGAGATCGCCGAAGCCAAGGATACCTACACCTACATCAAGAAAGAACACGAAGAGCTGAAGAAGACCTCTGAGCAGACGAGACTCACCTTAGTGGCGACTACAGCTGCCCGTGCCGATCTTGAGGATCAGTGTGGCAAGCTGCGAGGCGAGCGTGCGGACATGGACCTGAAGCTCACCGAGCTGACTTCCAAGCACGAGGAGATTACTACCAAGTTCGAGTCGACTCATAAGGAGCTAATAGACATCAGGAAGAGCCACCTGATACTCAAGGAGGAGAAGCACGAGTGGCTCCACAGGCGGGGCGAGCTTGAGGACCATATCCGCAAGTGCGACCACAAGTACGATGAGCTGAAGCGGAAGTACAAGGAGATAGAAGAGCTGTACGAGAAGAAGAAGTCTGAGGTTAAGGAGCAACAGGAGACCATCATCAGAGTCAAGAACGAAAAGGAGGAGGCCATCACCAAGGTCAAGAGTGAGAAGGAAGAAGCCATCACCAGAATCAAGAACGAAAAGGAGGAGATTATCATCAAGATCCGGAACGAAAAGGAAGAGCTCGATCAGTGCATCATCAGACTCAAGCGTGAGCTTGAGGAAGAGCACTGCCGGTGGGAGGCGGCCGAAGACAACTGTGGCAAGTGGAAGCTCAAGTGGGAGCACTGCGACCGTGAAATCATTTCCCTCCGCGAAGAGATCTCCCGCATCGAGATCACACGCACCGAACTGCGGGAGACCATTACGAAGAAGACAGAAGAGCTTCGTCTTCTCATCATCGAGAAGAAGCGCCTCAAGGACGAGGGCGAGCGTGCCGTCGGTCGCGCCAACGAGAACCATCGTCAGCTTCTTCTTGTGCAGGAGACCCTCAGCCACACTGAGACCATTCTCAAGAAGTCGCAAGAGGAGATCCACACCAAGACGGAGCGCATTGAGCGTCTCGACTGCGACCTAAGCGACTGCAGGAAGCAGATCGAGAAGCTCCAGATTGAGATCGAGAGTCACCAGTCCGCCTCAGCTGTGCTCAAGATCGAGGTCGAGTCGCTCAACAGCAGGTGCGGCGCCCTCAAGGCCAAGTGCCAGGAGTGGGAGGTCAAGTACGAGGAGGCATACGAGAGCATCACCGAGATTGAGGAAGGAAGCTCCAGCTATGAGTACGAGATCTCGGCCATGCGCACCATGCTCCGCGAGGCGCGGGAGCAGAAGGAGACAGCCATTACTGCGCGCAACACAGCGGATCGTGAGCGTGACGAGGCTGTGGTAAGATTCGAGGAGAAGTGCAGGGCGATGGAGAGGTTGGAGGAGAGGATGAGTGCGCAGATGCATGAGATGAACTCGCGATCTGGAACCAAGACTATTACGACGAGTACCACTCGCAAGTCGGGTCATCGGGTGAATAGTAGCGGCAGCGGCGTCATCTGCGTTGAGACCTGACATGGTGATCGTTGGCAGGATCGTGGGCATAAGATTTCGACCTGGCAACAGCTTTTTTCTTTGTAAACTTCATAAACATGACCGGTTCCAAGTTATTGAATGGTCATTAAGCTAGTGCTAGTAATATCACACTTACACTCCAAGTACCCTCCCTCGCTTTGCCCAAGCGGCCTTGATTCATAGCCTAGTGTGTGAGAAATTCATCAGATCCATTTGAATGCTCATGGTAATAACTCTTATTATATCTGATTCAATTCGCCTTTTGGTATATCTCCGTAGTTTCAACCTAGGTCGTGGGTATTATGTTAATCTCGCTTGCCTTTTCCTCTAGCATCGTCCTCATCACTGCTCGTCAGCGTTGCCTCACTTGGATTGATCCTGAAGCTAAAGTCCACAACACCAACCAAACTGCTCACAGACCGCACCAAGCCCTCCAAGTCATCGCACACAAGCGAGCTGCAAACCTGCAGCACCGCGAACTCGGTATATCCGTGTTGCTCTACGTTCCTTACGTCGAGAATACTTCCGCTGCCAAGAGGGCTGACCATCTCCGATAACTCGGCCATACCCCCAATCGTTGAAGTGTCACTCGTCGGCGACTCCACCACTGATCCCACCACGCTGGGCCTCCGACCTGAAGGGCGCACTTCAGACCCTGTGCGGGTGTGGACCGTGACAAGCCTGTGCTCGAGCTCACTGCCTCTTCTTTGCATGGTCCGCGGCTCTGGGTCCGGACCTTTGAGGTGGAGGAGCTTGCGGGTGAGCTCATTCGGTCTCGGAAGTTGCATAAAGGGCGGCAGTGATTGACCCGACAGTAGTGAGTTGGACAGGAGCGTGAGCGTGGAGAGAATGGTATGTTGCGTCGGCTCAATTCCTGCAAGGACCTGATTGAGAGCGCGCAGCCAGGCCCGGTCACTGTCGGAAGAGGGACTGGCTGGCCTGTCACGCGGCTTCCATGTGATGGTGTAAGCAATCAGCGTCAGGTACCGCATGGTGCTGGTTGACCGTCTGATGATATCTTCGTATGTGGCCCTAGGGAATTTGCCGCCGATATCGGGTTCCCATTTCTGCCATTGCGCATGCTGATCCAAGCTAGGGAGCAACAGTAACAGCTTGCCTAGGATGCGACGCCTTTCCTTCTCCATCTTGTGAGCAGGTGTGCCGGGCTTCTTGATGTCACCGTGAGTCTCTTCCATCGTCGCCTTGATTGTCTCAGTTACGACACTGAAGTAGTTGGCGAGGAGATAGAGCGAGGCGCTGAGATCCCGTCGGAGCCAGCGCCGGTCGGTGATCGGAGCCGGGAAAATGGTCCAGATAAATGCGATGAAACAACCGGCCGCTACACAGGCAAGACGATAAGGTGCCAGAAGGTATGTAGGATAGTACGGTTGTCCCGTGGCTGCGGCGGCCTTTTCTCCAATCTTCTGAACCTGTAGCTCATACCCAATGATGAGGACTTGAGTGATAATCGTGATGAGCCACACAGGCATAAACCGCGGATACTTCAAGATGAAGTACTGCTCGATGAAGATGAACAACCAGAGGAAGACGATGACTCCGGCGGTGCGCTCGACAACGATATACCAGATGATGTAGGAGAAAATAACCGCAACGCAGGTTCCGCCGACTCGACATACGAAGCCAAAAATGGACTGGCCGGCCGTGATAGTCATGCCAATGGCAATCATGATCATGGCCCAAACCAAGCGTTGCTCAGTGAAGAACGTCTGTGTGCTCTGCAAGAAAGCCATGATGCCGACGGTCATGGTCGCAATGGCGACCCGGAAGCCAAAGAGCGATTCACCTGATCCGACAAAGCCAGAAAATGCTCTCACCGAGTTCCCAAAGTGTTGCCAGACGCCGTGAGCAGGGAGATGTTCGGGATCCTTCTTCTTGTTATACCCATCACCGGCGTAGACGATGTTCGCGCCCATCTCAGCAATATCTGGCGTCTGCTCGGGGGAAGCGTCCTCGGTGCTGCAGATACCCTTGAACCATTTCTTGATGCGCTTCTGAGAAGGGATGATCAAGCGCTTCTTTGCCATCGTGCCGTCAGCCACCTTTGAGTCTGCGAACATGACTAGGTCCTGCACTGCTTCGCCCAGGGCGAGCATAAGCTTTTCCATGTACAGCATCACATAAAGCTGCGTCTGGTCGCGCTCCCGCATCCTGGTCTCGAGCTTCTTCAGGTGAAGATCCTGTCGTTCCTGTTCTGTCGCGAGCTGCCTCTCCTTCAACCAGTTTCTGAGCAGCTCTCCCTTCTTGTCGTTGAAGTCCTGCACCCTCTCGGCGAGGACTTCGGCGAACCCGGCTTCGCCTGGCTTCGAGGTCGCCTTGGCACCGGCATCCATCTCCACGTCGGCACCCTTCGTCTTCTTCGGCTTGGGTGTGAGTTCGAGGACGATACCGACGTGATCGAGTCCCTGGTCCATTGCTTCCGTCAGGATTTCGAATGGCTCCAGCAATTGGAGCATGATATCGTTCCAGACTCTCTTTTCCCGTTCCTTCTCCGCGTCCGAGTCGCCGTTGCCATCGTTAACACCCCATCCGTGCTTTTCGGAGGCTCGGCGGAAGATGTCGACAATTGTGCTGATGCCGTTCAATGGGATCATGATGCTTCGCAGGCGGTTGAAGATCTCGCCGATATCCTTGGAGTTGAGCTTGCCGTAGGCGATATCCCTCTTGGCGAAGAGGATGTCTCCGTGCATCTTTCCAAACAGTGCCGAAATCGCCAAAGCCGTGGCCTTGAGCTCGCCCGCGGCCTTCGCCTCCTTCGTCATCTCGGGCTTCTTCTGTTTCTTGTTCTTCTTGAAGACGTTGCTGCTCTTCGTCTGGTGACGCTCGAGCATGTCGGGACTGGATAACGTCTTCAAGTAGTTGAGTTGCAGAGCAATAGACTTGCGAACAAGCCCAATGGCACCCTTGAATTCACCGCTCACCACCTTCCTGCTGGAGACGGGGAACACGAAAAGTGAGACACCGGTAGCAATACCCATGGCGCAAAGCATCGCCACGGTCAGCCGCTTTACAAGCGACTCGGCGGCTGCGGTGGTCACCATGAGCGGGCCAAATGTGCAGGCAACGTTCATAAAGATGGAGTAGATCATGACAGGCAGGTTCATCGCAGGGTATTTAGCTCTCAGGGTATTCGAGATCCAAATATTGAAGAACAGCCAGACGCCGCAGACGGCAGACTGACTTGAGTTGTAGACGGGCAATCCGGTGGCTAGTTCCTCGGCGGAGGCGGTGTTCCTTCGCGCCTGGACACCAGACCACAGTGCCAGCATCGACAAGGCGCCACCGATGCAAATTCCGGTGACATTGAGGACGAGGTTCTGGAGGTATTTTCCTCTTGGGAGAATTGCGAGTGCGAGTACTGAGATAATTGGCACGAGATAGCCCAGCGTGGTGAAGTACTGTGCCACGGGCGTGGATTGGTAGATGGCGATGCCGATGAGGGGCGGTAGTGAGCCCTTGAACATCATGATGAGCGTCGGCGCGTCGAGGCCCAATCTCGCCGCCAGACCCGGCTTTGGCGCCGGCTTCTTTGTCGCCTTACTTGCGGTCGTCGGTGACCGCGCCGGGACGCCATCCGGATGAGTCTCAGTCTCTGGGGACTGCGACTCGGTGTATCGGTCAGCGTCCGGCTTCTGTTCGTCGGATGCCATGGTTCCAGTCGTTCTTTGCGTTTACGTTCACGGAATCATCGGCCCCTTGAGCGAACGAGCGTGCAGCTGTTGAATATTCGATTATGTCGTCGTGCCCGTAGATCAGCCAAACATAATGGTCTCTTGATGTCTTGTCTCTGAATGCTGCGATGATTTTGGGTTGAGTTTTCGCCCGGGCCGAGGGTGGGCGGTTTGTTTTGTCTCATTGGAGAATGATGTAATTGCGGAGTTCGCCGCGCCTATCTAGCCTTCTATCTACGCGCAGTACAGAACTCATAGTGTGCACGAATCCAGCACTGCAGGCAAGAGAGTGCCGACAGAGTTTGCGCTAATGCCGTGTTTTGTGGACTTTGTACTCGTTTTCGGTCAAGAGGGGGAGGGAAGATTACGGCGTAATAAGACCCAAAATAGCTGGTGGCCTCTAAGAAGCCTCTACTCAAGGTGAGACGAGTCAGGATTCATGCACAAGCACGGGCCTTCATCTCAACGGTAGGACGGGGTCAGCCTGTGAGATGAAGTGAGATTAGATGAGATTAGCAGATCGTTTAGTCTAGAATCATGTCTTTCGAGTTGTGGAAATGCAGAATCTGCATTCATGATTTTTGCAGAGAGAATCACGATCGTGACCCTCATGAGCATTGGCATGGGAATGTGAATTATACATCTTACTCACGAATTGACACGGGATGAGTAAGCCATACTGACACCTCATCCAGCGGCCATCCGACCCGCGCTGCGATTGAGAATGGGAGGGCGAAGTTGCAGTAGACAGCCTCAGGCAGAGTCGAATGAACAGGTGGTTCAACCCACTGAATCCGGCTCCAAGTCGACTAGGTAAGCACCTCTATCGCAAGCAAGGGCTTAACTGGCGGGCTCATCCTCAGCGCAGCGAAAGCTCAATGAGTCCTTACAAGTTCAATTAATGGCATTGAAAGAACTCCCAGAGAACCATGGTACAGCAGTATTACTCTTTCCAATATTCACAATAACGCTGAATTTCCGTAGACCCCTATCGGAGGAAATGAATGAAAAGAGTTCATTCGCATGTATCACCCCTGCATCTCAGCCCTAGAGGGCTTGAGGACCCCGCCACGTCGACTTCCCAACCACAAGCCGGCCGGCGTGTCCGGCAAAGCATAGTGGCAGAATTATAGCCAGTTCCGAGATCGTCCGCGGAATATTGAGACTGCTCCCCGGAGAGCAACTCCATAGTCTCGCCGAAAACTCCGTCGGCCATCGACATAATGAATGCCAGCCGTCTTGGATGAGTGCCGTGAGGCGGGTTAGGACTGAGGATCCTATGCGACTGCTGATGAATGAGTCAGCCACGCTGCATGTAGCTTGGTGTCGGCTGGACAACACCACCATTTTCCCCGCACCCCGGATTCACTCCGGCAAGACGCCGCGCTGGCGATTAGCACCGGGGCCGTTGAGGCGAATCGAGGTGGGGAAAGCTGAGAGCCGCTTCTCAATGATGGTGCATGTACTCGAGATAACGTGATATGCTCTGGGTGCGCCTAACGAACTGGTGTGTTGCAAAAGATTGAACACGTTCATCTTTCATCCCGTCAATGGCTGAGCTTCTCGATAGAGTCTGATTTCTTCGCCGGGGCTGGTGAAGGACCCCTGTTCGGTACAGGGAGCAGCCATCTGAAGGCTGCTGACCGAGTAAATCTCACCCGGTTTGTACTGAGGAATGAGTTGTTATCTCATCAATGTGGACAAGATCATGCTACCATGTCAACTTTCGAGTTGAAGTAGCTCAGACTCATGAAATGGCGTCGTCTTCTATCTACCAGAGCCTAGAACATGGTTGTATTCGTCTTCCTACCCTCCTTCCAACTGACTTATTTGATCCCCTATCATGATCTTTTCAAGAGGTTTTGCTGGCGTCATCACCCAGTTTTGAGGCCGTTTCCTATGCACGAGAAATATCTTGTGCCTCTGAAAGCCTGATTATGCGAGCTGACACAACGAATGGAAGCCCTTAGGTTATCCCGATCTCATCGTAGATTGCATCTCTTCTGTTCACCCTTCGCGACCCTGCCGAAACGCAGATTCTGTGGGTTTACGAAGTCTGCGTCGACCAAGCAAATCTTCCAATGCGCTGTACGCGTGATATTCTGGCTAGGTCCTTCTGCCGGAGATGAAAGCAGTGAACGCGCACTCACGTTTCTCAGAAGAATGGCAATGCATAGAGAATACAATGATCAAGGCGAACACCTCGGTGGTGTGCCAACAATTGAGCAATTATCTAGTGCGGGCAGCGGATGATCAAGTGAAAGACCTTGATAAAAGCGCTACCATTTGCTGAGGCCTGGGACGACTTTGGGAAGACGACGGTTGAGAGAAAGAACGAGCGCATTAGCGACTGACCAGTAATGAGAGATCGATACTCCACTGCTTTCTACCTCTTGAAGCAGGGACTCATGGACGAAAGACTATCGGATCTCCTGTGGAACATTTGGGCTAGAGACGCGGCCGATTCTCGGGGCAGGTTGTTTGCGATGCTCAGTCTCGCCGGTAGATCTCGTGGCTGGGCCCATGGGGACTACAACAGATCCGTGAAGCAGGTGTTCTGCGGAGCAGCAAGAGACATTATCCGTGAAGAGAACAGTCTCGAGATACTGTTGGCGGCACGAAGCCTGAATAAAGAAGATGAAGCGATCTCACTGCCGAGTTGGGGTGTCCGAGTGGCGTAGTGAACATAGCCCGCTCAAGGGACGGCCGAAGCCCCTGGTTGACCGATCCCGAATTCATTCTCTCTACGTCATCGGGTCTGTCGAATCTCTCGTTCTCAACGGACATGGCTTTACGGCCTGCTCAAGCGCAATCCCAGTCGCTTGGTTCAGCCATGACCTGGACAGATTAAATGTTCGAGCTGTGTTCATCGATGAAGTGAGAACAGTTGCTTCTCTGCGTGGGTTAAGATCAGATATCGGCATCAAGAACACCATAAATGATGCGTATCTCGTTAGTCAGTCCGCATTCTTTGATGGGATGCCTCATTGGTGGAGCAAGGATGAGAAGGATGGATTGCCTGGTGTCAATAGGTGTATGACACAGGGAAGAAGCTCACAGAGGCCAACTGCTGTTAGGGTCTAGAAGATGAATTACTGAAATCTGCCCCTCCCTCGAGGTGTACTACCAGCGCTCTATATATGCCTGAGCTGCTCCTTTGTTGCTTGGTCCCCCTCCTCATGCCCCTTAAGCTATCCCTTAACCGGCGAGGCCTGACACCTGGCCTGGTCAAGAGAGTCATGATGGCCGGTTCGCATGGTATGATGGATGAAAAGAGGCCATAGGGGAACCCATGGTATTCCGGCGCTTCTTCGTCACAAATAATCTGCGTGGTCTTTGTATTGGACCTGAGGGACCAATGCTAAGAGACCGCATTTTGGTTGTCTGGTGCCACGGGAACACGAGCGGGCAACAAAGGATGGGTCGACGCTATAAGAGCTGGCAGGAGAGGCTCACGGTGAGTAAAAAGCATTCATTATCTACTAATCGATCTCAGCTGATTGCAGATAAAGTTCACGGCATCTTGCAAGGCGAAGCCATTGCAACCAGGAAGGCCAAGATCGGGTGGGACAGTTTAGCTTGGTGGCGACCCCCCCAGGGAAAACAAGTCTCTTAGGAGGATATGGTCATACAATGAAATTGAGAGACAAACCGGAACCCCTATCAATACTCATTCTAGCTACTCAGCCAGTAGGATGTTGAGGTATACTCAGCAACACCCAATGCATATGCATATGTATACCAAATCGAAGAGAAATCAGATGATGGCCAGACGGCACGCTCAGCTTGGGTTGTGCCGGTGAGGGCAGCGGAGTTCCACGATACAAAGATGCTTGTCAAAACAGAGCTTTGTAATGAAAGCCACGGTCAGGTGTCTCTACATCGAAGAAGTAGATTTACCTATCTGTCAGTACGGGTCGATGTTCGATTCAAGAACGATTACGCCAAGTAGAAAATTGGGGTTCTAGAAGAGAGAACCAGTCATCCACCAAGCAAATATTCCTAATTCTCTTGTTGGAGTACCTACTCTGAGACCGAGAATGTCTTTGGGATGTGTTGTAGGTAAAAGGGGGACCACCCTTGGACCAGAACGACGGATGTATTGGCCTACGACCACCTTGGTATGGCAAGTTAAACAAAGAGGGCGTATACTTCTGAATGAAGTTTGACAAAGGGAGTGCATCTTTGACGTTGATCCAAAACAGGTCAAAACACTGAAAAACCACTCGGTCTGTCAGGAAAGCCTTCCTGCTCGCATCGCCAGTCTGAGAGTGGTGATGCCAGGTAGTTCTCCATCACAAATCAGACGGAACCAAGCACAGCACCTGGAATCCAAGGTCAGATACCATCGATGATCAATCAATTGCCTTGGATCTAAGAGTATTTTACGTTCAAAAGATAATGTTTACTAACTCCATCAAGCTGACGGAACTCGAGGACCATGACACTCGTCAAATCCAAAATCAACCACCATACTCCAGCCTCATGGCCAAATATTGATCGGATTCGTGTCTCAAGTCCCGGGTGCGCGTCTCTGCCACTTGCAGACGCATGCCCTTGGTCCGCAAAGGCATTCCCCCGCAGCTCGGCCCAGGAGAAGAGTAAGACAGAGGTCCGTCGCGATCGCATATAGCGGACAGCCCAACTCTGGGAAGTGCCCCAAGCTGATCAACTGAACGCGTTAAAAACGTCATGTACGAAGTAATCTCAAGTGTATCAAAGGTGTCGAAGGATATCGTTCGGGTGGTCGCGTCGAGAGGGCAGTATCTGATCGAATAGTAAACCTGGGGACAAGATATCATCAGCGACACAACACCAATCAGAGCGGGGAGGACTCTAACACAAAAACCCCGCACACAATATCAATAGAAACAAAGTCTGTAGAAGTATTCGGAGGATCGTGAAAGAACCCAAAGTCAGAATAGACCACGCATAGAGACGCGCCTATGTAGTGCCGGCCTGAGTAACATACCTTGATACACATTCATTCGGCGTCCGAATTGATTGACGATCAGTAGAGGAAAGGGATCAGATCTGGTTCCCAGTCATTGCGGAGTTTCGTGACCCTTGAGCTGCGACAGCAACGATGGAGACCACCGAGGTGATACTTCCTGTCAGTGGTATCGGAGCCAAGATTTACCTACCTTGGAAAGATAGTGAGAGAGCTGATGTCTTCGACAAAGGGAGTCGTCAACCAAGTTTCCCAGATATCCAATGTTCAGTGTGAATTTCTGACGTCCGAGAATCCTTCATTTGGGCTTCCACCATCCCTAGCCCGAATCTCCCTTTCTCCTATTCTCTTCTCTTAGCTCTATCATTCGTCTTTCCCTTATCTCTTCTCAGTCTAGACACGGCATCGCATCCAGCGCGCCGCATGGAGATGTGGTCTAGGCGCGCGATTCGGTTTCGTCGGTTTCGTTCAAACTCGATAGATTCGGTCTTGGCATCTTTGTCGACAGCCGTTCGGCCGGCTTGTCGCACGATTCGAATAAAGGACTACGAGTCATTAGAATAGTCCCATCGAGGCCTCTCTGACTCCACATGTGTTGATGGGATGGCAGGTGTTGGGTCAAGTTGGATGTTTGTTGTCGCCTCCATCGATCCATGGTGTTGAGACCAAGCATACTTGGGAGTTTTTAATACTGGAAATCGCTACGATAACGAGTTCATGATGGATCAGAAGTAAAAGAGAATGATTGCGAGGAAATAATCCAGTATATGTATTCGATTTTACCCTCTACAATCATCATCCAGTCTATACTACCAACATATTTCGCCCTCCAAACCAAACTTCAGCTCCTTCTCTCGCCCATCCAAACTATCCACGCAGCCGGCGCACCGCTCCCGGCTCTACACCATCCCGCGTTAGCATAACCAACCAAAGCAGTCTCTAAGCTTCCCAGGACCCATGGTAACCAAAGAATCCTAACCAGTCAACCACCCACTCAAAAACTGCAATTTCTCGTCAGAATGATAGCTACAAAACAAATGCTTTACCAAGGCTCGCAACTATGCGGAACAACCAGAGCCTCAGCCTTGACAGAATCGTTAGTGTGGAACTACGGACCAAACCTTCCAAAGAGACCAGATCAGACAAGAGTCCAGACGGGTACGGGGGCCCTCTCTGCCTCCCCTCCTTTCCTTCTTCGTCCCCCCTCATTTCCCCCATCATCCAGAGAATCGTCACTCAGATCAGAGGCAGAATAACTGCCTCAGCCTTGGACCTCCTGATCACCAACCACCTCACTTCCCATTTCCTTTTTGCCGCCTCTTCCTCTGAGATCTGTGCTCCGGGTGTTTCATTGACTGACTTCCGCGTCGTCATTTTACCGCCACGTTCCGCGATCTTCTGCAAAGAGAGAGAGAGACTCAAGTTTTGGTCCTACCGCCAAGGTCACAATTAGAGAGGGTAAGTGAATCTCCTATGCCGAACACGCCCCGGGGAGTGTATAGGCACAAGTGATAGTGGAAATCCGTCACTAGTGGCTGGGCCCTAGCCCAGCATGGTCCTTCCTGGGAGACAGTGAGGATCTAGACAGCATTCGAAACTGCCCGCATATCTAGTGAGGTGGCGGATCAACGCGGCCGAGTGGAAGTACGATGGGTTCAAAGCTCAGTCTCAAAACACATCTCGTCCCAACTTATCCATCGGCACATCTTGGCAAGGCGACATAAAATACCACACAGACTTGCGTCAAAATCTGGCCGCGGATGTTCCGATGCAATTGCTAAAGCACGTCACCGTGATCCGTCACATTTCCCGATTGTAAAAGCCGTTAGTAGATAACTGATCGGAGCCGTAGCCCCCCCCCCCCCCCCTCTCCCCCACGATGGTGGCCAATGGACGATCCGATCGGTGGATGGTTTGTCTCAACGGCCGTTAGACGTTCGATATCAGTCGTGGGCCGATGTCTAGTCCATTGTTCGTGTATGTATGATCGCTGTCGTCTCAACTATGCATTGACGCAGTTAGACTCTGTACAGCCGGAACATCAAACCTGTCATGGTTTCTCTCTGCACAGTGTCATTGGCAGAATAATCATGGCTGCATGACACTTTTCAGAAATTTCCAATGACACGAGAAAACCATATTGGACCAGCATCTTGCCTTGGTAGACCTGCAAACCTAGAGTCCAATCTCCACCGGACCCGAAGATGCAGTATTGGCCATGGCTCGATTGTGCTCCATTTATTTGCAGAGGCGGTATCTGTACTTTGTGCCTCTACTCCGTAGCCTCTGGGCTCTGCGTCTGGGGCTCGTGAGATTTTTAGCGTCTTAGTGCTCTCTGTTGGGCAACCCGATTCTAAGCGCGATGTAACGGCGGCTTGATGAACCGCCGTGAAAGTGCAACTGTGACCTCGATTGTGGACTCGACGGATTGCCTCGCCTACTAAGCCGTGCGATAATGCATGTACGCTGTCTGGTCCCACAAGCGGTGATTTGGAGACAGTCCGGTTTGTGCAAATCAGTCTAGAATATGTTTCCAACCGAGTTCAAACGAAACGAAACAACTAAAATTTCCCGATCCATCACCGGTATTTGATCCAGAAGAGGGGCAAACACCAAGGTGCTCGAGACCCCGAGTGCGCCTCGGTTGGTGATGAGGAGATCGGTCGTCTGGGAAGAGCACTCAGCGCGCATCGGGACTCCAGTCATTCGAGGGTGCGCCTGGTGTGCGATGTGGAGAAACGGCGAGAACAAACTTCAAGTTAGGACGCCCGAGTCGATCTACCTAATTACCTACCTTAGCTTAAGCCTTGGGATTAGAAACATGTGGGTAGCCTGGGCTGGATACGATGCTATGGATGCTTTGCCCGGCTTTCTGGCTTCGAAGCGAGGAATCTAGACGGGGAGGGGGGTCAAGAAGAGCAGGATATTCGGAAATCCGTAGATATTGGTTGTGCTTCAAAGGTCTCCAAGGGGCTGCGTTGGTAAAGGATATCATCAAAGATTGGCATGGTAGGGCATTAGTCGACCGGGCCACCTGCTAGCGAGCCGTGTCCCGCCCGATGCCCCGGACCCCATCCAGGTTCAGATATGAAGCGAAGTTCTGGCCGACAACAGTGTCAGTATCTACGTGCGCTTCCGCTGTGGGAAGCTCGGAAGAAGTGCCAGAAAAGCACATGCAATCTGGGCGCGGGATGCCAGAGCCGGCCAGGAGATTGGGGTGGCGGATGGCTGGCACGCTCCTACTTGCAGTGTAATATCGAACATGCAAGCTTGACACCAATTGACTCAGTGGGACCGCGGGTGCGCGCGTTCTCCGTCGGCCGCAGCAGTGGCCGCAGAAGACATGAAAGGCCGCAGCTGGAGAGGTTGTGTGCGAGAATGCCGTTCCAGGCCATGATAGCCCTGACCGACGGCCGCAGAAGACTGAGCTGACAACGTCTTGATTCTGTTGGTACATGGCATCCACCAACACAGTAGAGAGTTTGATGAATGGCTTGCAGAGGTTTGTTCCTACACAAGAAGATCATCCCGACGACGCCTAAGTTGTGCATGAGATGACCCCTTTGGTCGTCTGCAGTGCTGCACTCCGCATTGCGCCCGTGGTAGAACCAGCCAATCCACAGTTCTGGCGCGCTGTCGGCATTCACCCTCGCAAATGACGCCAGGCGCCCCGGCGGGTTGCAAGGCATGGCGAGGCCAAAGCGATCCCATTGTATGCGTAAGCCAAGGCTGTCTGCAACTTGTCTCTGCCCCCAGCGTTGACTTCTTTTCTAATCTCAAGATTGAACAGTCACAGGCGCGCCTGTCTTTGCGTGATAATTTGTGCAGTCGCGCTGTGGAAGGAGGGACTCGAAACATTCATCAGGCGAGCTGAAAATAGCCAAAACATGGCGGCAATTCCCAATTGTGCATGAAACATGGGGCTCGCGTTAGAACAAAGGCGACATGGGTTCTCTGGGGTCCTTGTAGCTCGAACGACGTTGTTGCTTGCCTTCGGATATTCGACTATTTGGCGACGATGACCGGCCGATAGTGATGCAGCAGACGGACGAGTTGACTGCCAACTTCGATTGCAACCTGGTTCAGCTTCCCATTGCTGGCTCTTGGCCGTCTTCTGTGCAGACATGTTCCATCATATAATTTCGCAAAGACCCAGTCTTCATTTCCCCATGTTGCCTGCAACGTCGTAGGTGACACACACTTCGCCTTCGAGGGTTGTGTCCGTATCCGTACTTTCACAGGCTAACAGCCATCTCTGTTAGTGTGCACTGGTCCACTATCCAGCCATTGATCCTCTTTTCCCCCCCAGCCAACCGCCTGTCGGGTTTCTCTCGCGCTCGGAAGATTTGTCGGGAGCCTTGAACCGACGTGGGCTCTTTGTGAAGCGCGACGAGCATGGTTGGCCAGACTGACGTGACATTGGGGGTGCGCCACTGACAGACCGGATGACAGGCTCAGGGTTTCTAGTGGGCCGCGTCAAACGTTCCTGACGACCTGGGCTATTGGCCCTTCTTCAACGGAACTTTGCGATTCGTGAAATGGGTCTTCAAAGACCGTCCAAACGAGATTGAGTTTGCAAGGGCGACCTTGTTCTGCGCAACGAACCACAGCCCGCAAGGCGTTGAGTCGACAGACAGCTGCACAATCACTACTACCATTGAGCATCCGCCACTGCGTTGGCGACGATCTTGGGTCACGCAAAGTCGTCCGAATAAGGTTGAGACCTTTAAGAACTCCAAGATTCCGACGAAAGCTAGACTTGACTCGATCGACGTTATAGGTAGTTCTGTTCGTGCCGAGCCGAGGTATTCTCGTCATTGGACTGGTCAGTGACAGTCTTTCAGGTGCCATAAATAGCCGCGCACCATGCGAAAGTTCTTGATGAGTATCTTTCAAAGGGTGCATCAGGTGTGCGAACATAAACAACGGCAGACTCGGATTTGCTGTCTGATCCCAGAGAGAGGTCCAATTGAACAGCCTGTTTTGCATGTCAGCTCCCGAGACCCCGAATGAGCCTTGATTAAACCTCTGAGCAAGCAGAATAATTGCCGTGACACTCGGTCAGATGTGAGAAATTGCCAATCTCTCCATATCCAAACCGGCAATTTGTCCGCAAGCAAGTTGTAGAGTGGTGATGTGCGCAGGTTGAATATCAAGTTGCCCAACGCTAGACATAATTGGGTAGGCTCATACTGAGTCTCAAGAGATCTCTTGCTAGGTATCTGGCATCAGAGAAGAGTATACTGCTAAAACTGAATTCTTACATTGAAGGACGTTTCGAGATCGATGTCTTGAACCGCTTTGCAGGAAAAGATTATCAAGAGATGACACTCGTTAGTGCAGTTCGGCCGAGTACAAGTCTTTCGGGTTGTGGGTGGTGGGTGTGGAATGAAATGAGGTGGTGGGTCACAGAGCCGATCAGCACCGTGCCGCAGGAGACCTTCGCAAGACTCCATGTGACGTGACTGCCATTGAATTCAAGAGCAGACCGTGACCAAGCCCCGAATGGGCCATCATGATCCAACAAGACTGTTGTGTCCCATAAGTGCAAGTGAAAGGCACCAAACCATGTCAAGCTGCCATCCACTTCACTCTGACCCCGAAAAGATGATCGAATCCGGGAGTTGAGTCGAAGATCCGCAACGAGGCACGACTTGAACGGCGGGTTCGCAAGAACGCCAATGTAAACAAAGCTGGGTTCCGAGGAATGTCTCTGGAATTTTACAGCTGATGCGATCCGTCCCGGGGGCTAGCCATTCAGCCACACTTGTTATTTTTCGTCGGTCTGATCGACCTTGACGGGTATCCAATTCCCGTGTCAATGCCGTGCACGGCATGACCCAGCGGAAGCCGTTGGCGGAAACTCTGCCGTCGAGCTAGAATAACGGACGTTGGACACATTATTTGTATGCAGCTTCTACACTGTCGGGGCGTGCTGAAGAGGACGCCGCTTGGACAACACGTCAAATTTGGCCCAAGGACAGAATAGACAGGGAGCCAAAGCGGCCACATGGGTCTCACTTTAATCTGGTGGTGGTGAATCAATGAGGATCCCGAGTCGAATTGAGATGGTGCCTGGCCTATTCATGACTTCTGTTCTATCTCGTCTGTTATCGTTCAGGTTGGATTAGAGGATGGCTTTCCTCCTGATTAGGGAATAATCTCTGCGAGCATTCCAGCGTGAAGACATTTCTGGAGAAACTGATCAGCGGAGCGAAACCCGGCTGATAGTTCCTCATCTGTAGTCCCCTGATCCCTTGCCTGCCGGACATGGAACCTATTTCGAGGGCTCTTTTCTTGGAAGCCGTAAATCGCTGCAGGGGCGTTTCACGATATTCCAGAAAGATTGCCGACGAAGGTTGTCAAAAAGGCGTTGCATAAGCAGGTGCGAAATGGAAATCTGGGGGATGATGCCATCCCGCCTCTGGCGGAGAAGGTTGTGCAGGGGGCATCGGTATGGAATAGAGTTGTGAGTTCTTCTTCTAGAAGACCCAGGGATAAATGACAGGCCGAGGCGAAACAGTAGTCCAGATGCAAGAGACTCTTAGAATTCGCAGCCTTGTCGTATGGCCAGTGGCATGCCGGTCGAGACAGTGCAGTGCCTCCTCCTCGGACTTTGGTGCGGCGCGACCTAGTCATTATGGTGCAGAGGGGGAATAGGTGGTGTCGGCGATTGGCAGGGGCAGAGTGGGCAGAATACCAGGAGTAATCTGATATTGCATAGCCTTCCGGCGCTCGTTTGAAGGGGTGTTTGCTGGGCTGAGTGCGAGTGATTGCTGACAGACTGGGAAATTCTCCTTCGCGTCCCATGACGCCCCGCCGAAGAGCTTGCTCGCCGGTCAACACACAACGTCAAGAGCAAGGAGGCTGGTCTTAGAGGCAATCGTGTCGTCCATCATTGACTATAGCCGTCGTGGCCCATATGGGGGGGGGGGGGGGTTCCCGTTTTAGCTGGCAGCGATATTTATCGTGAGGCGGCTTATTGGATCGGATGAGCGTACTCCAGCCCAATGCGAGGCCAGAGTGATGCAGGGCAAGCCGCAAACGCTGCCATGTCGAAAGCCCAGGGAGGGTGATATGTCGTCGGTGATGACAACGGAGGCCTCTCCCAAACAGAACACATCGGACATTGCCGTGATATGCGAAATAACAGACAGTGACGGAGTCATCTGAAGTGTTTGTGTCTACCCAGCGACCGCTGTGGTGAATGGTGTTGGGCGGGCGTTGACTGACAGGGCGTTGGAGTGGACGAGGGTTTGGAGGTGGACCGGAGCGGAGGACGACGGTTTATTTGTTTCATCAATGTCGAATTGGGTAGGCAGGTCGCAAGAACAGGAGGTGAATGCTGGCAGTGACAAATGATCTGGAAAAGGAGAAGCATGTCGAGTATCCATAGAGTCGATTCGGAAGCGAAACAATTGTGCATGTTGAACATGTCCCGCCGTGAATCGGATTGTGGCATTGAAGTCGGCGAATTTCTTCATGCCGGTGTGTGGTGGAGGAGGGTGGGGGATGTGGGATGGGAAGGGACTCAGGGAGAAAGGGACGCCCAGAAGGGAAGGAATGACAACCCAAAGACGGAAGCGGGAGAAAGAGCCAACGAGAACCTTGGGACTGGGACGTATTGCGTCCAGCTTCTCACGTCAGGTACTGAGGTAGCTGCGTTCTCCATACAAGGCAGGTGTCCAAGGTACCTACCTACCTTTCATGCCTTATTTTAATGGAAAGCAGAGGCATCTTTTGAATACCAGCGATGAGTACCTGCCTCTTTTGAACGTTGCGCACGATCAACTCAAAATGACAAGAAGCAACAGGGCGATAGTACGTACGGATACGTACTGCAAATACATGGAAGTGGGAATGGGAGGAACGAACGACTTTGCAAAGTCACAAACAGACAGCGGAGTCATCCACTTCCTCAGCGGGATGGACACAGAGGACCAGGAAGAGTGGAGATATGTCACATTTAATGGGTCCGAAATAAAGTACCTGAGTACTTCGGTACGTATCCTCACGTCAACACCTCATTGTGGTGGAAGGTGCCCTGCACTGAGTCACTGTGCGAGGAAGGAGCCAGCAGGGGAGTACCATCTTTCCTCTATCTTTGCGCACCGTGATTTCCAGCCCACTTGTAGTGTTTGAACACCGTGTTTTGTTGAAAGTTGATGGTTTTCGCACAGTATGACCAGCCAAGGCAGGAACACTTCGAACCTGGAGTCACGTCGTGAGCGGGCATCGTCCCCATCTGTGCCTCGAATTCACCTCTCCTGCCTTGATCAAGGTAGTGAAAAGCATCAATACCAAGAAGAAAGTAAATCTGTCAGGTCGTAGCTAAGGTTGTTTGATCCGTTCCTCGTCAGTTGGGCCGCACGATGATGGATACGTAAGGCACCTTGTCACTGTAAGGTATGGTAAGGTAGGGCAAGGTTCTACCAAGCCCAGGCAAGGCTGGGATCATTGACAGCTGTCAAATGAGCCACTCTCCGGAGCTTCAGGACCCTCGACGTGCCGCTTGGATGCTGGTCCTGCCAACATCAGCATTGAAACTGACTATTATTGCGGATATCGCAGTATGCTAAGGTATGAATGCCTACCCGAGTCTCCGAGGTGGCATCAGAGTGTCAAGGATAAATGGCGTGGAGGACGACAGTACCACAGCCTGAATGTGTATGTGACCATTGAGCACTCA